CGATGCTGAACCCCCTCTAGCACCTCTCGCCCGGAAATCCGAATGGAGAGGTATGTTACTTCTAATTAAATTCATTTGAGGAGAACTCATCATAGCTTTTTCTGTATCGAGGGGAGGTTGGCGTGGAAGGAAAAAGAAATTGGATTGGGTTGGGTTGGCCGGAATCATCAACCAGCTACTGAAATGCGGTTTAATATACCCATTTCACAGTGTCTATGATTGATGTGGTGGTATCGCAATGGGCGATGGTGTTAGTCATTTTCCACCTATTGGCGTCCTTTTAGTCGCCTTCTACGACCGTGGGGTTATTCTAATCCGATCTCCACACACCCAACAGATGATATGTTTCTTGAGGTAATAAAGATGTTTAAGAGATATATTACTTTCAATGTCTTTTTATGTAGATCAGAAATTTTGATGAAACTACCCTTGAATCCACCAATATTAATCAGATAGTTAATTTAACTGAAAAGAATGGAGAATATTTTGTGTGTATCTGCACTAAATTTGGGAGATTATGTGACGTATATCTCAAAATACTTCCTTTTAGATCAATCACACTGTATACTACGAACACCCTGTGTATCGCGAAAGAGTGTCAGAGATGATAGTCTGAAGAAATTCCATTTTATTAGTTGTGGAAGTATTGCTCATCAGTACTTCATCAACATTTGGTTTGAACATATATTATGTGAATATGTGTGTGTGTGCGTGTCAATTATTCAAAGCACAGATAAGAAATATCAATATGTGTTCAAATCACAATAATCATTAGAGTAAACAAGTATCGGAAGATTACTATGAATACATACCTACAAAATATTTATGTAATCAACTATCTGATTACATAGCAGATATATTGTAAACAATACAAAACATTGTTTAGATAACAATTGATAAATGGAGTGAAGAGAATCTCCACGATTCTTTTATCCTACTCAAGTGGTTGAAAAGCAAGTCAGTTAGTTCAGAAGATATGATCAAACTATTTACTATTTTTCTGCGAGACTGAAAGAATTTTGTATCGAGTTGTTCAGGTACAGGTGAGTGAAATTTTGAACACCACGAAATTTCCATGTCTTTCATTTCCTAGACGTTCACTAAGAATTGAGGATTCTTTTTCGTGTGCACCAAGCGATAAAAAAAAGGGAACGTATGTGAGGGTTACTACAGTCACATCTATCAGTGAAATTGAGAATCAAAAATAGACAACTGAACTTGTATTGAAATTTTTTACCACTATAATATAAAATTGGTCGTTTTACTGTTTTCGACAAATCAATGAGGTACATTGTATGTCTTCAATTTCATTACCTTAGCTGATAACACAATGTCACATTTCAAACAATGACAGCTCTGTCTAATAGAGCATTACTTAAGAGAAAATAAGATGGCTACAAGTCGAAGAAATCAAAAATTCCGATATTATCTGTAAAAACTATAATGTATAACTCGAACGGAATGCTAATTTCCCATTAGTATGATTTGCAGCATTCGCCTACTGCTCATGATGCAAACTTCATTCTCGTCGGAAATGACGATCATTCCGTGCTCGTTGAACCATATAGAGCATGAAGCTTAGTTTTGTGCTAGGCGATTTTAGCTGGTTGGTTAGCTGCCATTGACCAATAGTAACATCACACGTTTCATCGCTAGCATCGCCAAAGCCAAAATCGCCCAGCAATAAACAAAGCATGATTCGAGCAGACCCCGCATGATATCATTTGATATTGATTGTTGATATCGCAACTTCGCTCAAACTCGGCCACTATGTAACCAAATCGCAAATTATGTCGAGTTGTATGGAATTTTTTCTTGATTCATAATATTCCCGAGTTGTAATCCCTAGTCGATGATTGCACGGAATGCACATTTCCATCCCATGGAGGAATCGAATAATATGTATCATTGCATTTTAAGACTACCTAGAATCGGTGAGACCTAATCACGTGCTATGTGAACAAACATTTGGTAAATATCCATCGGTAACTTGGCAACTGCGCTCAAAACTGTCTAACTACGGGATACAAGATGTGGAGCGATGTAGCCACGTTTTACACTGAATGAATTAATATATATTATGTCTGATTACTCATACACATCTATTACTTGTATGAAGGATACATCATCCAGTTGACAATAAAGCAACTAGGAATCTTTCCACATATTAGGAGTACAATAAATCATTATTAATGAATGTTTATAGCCAGGCAGTTTGTGTTATTTCCAGATGTACAGGGTTATTCATCGAAAAGTTCCACTCCTATATCACTGTTATTTATTCATCGAGCAAAAATACCCTGTTTCTGATATTTTCTTCGGCATCCGAGAATTTTTGTGGTCACAAAAATATATGCAATGTGGAGACTTTAACTGGAATAAATTCGCTAGCGGAAGGGTGAATATTTTTTTTTTAATTCTCGACTTACGTCAACGATGTAATGTATTTACCTACCTTTTGCAAGCAATATCGAGAATATAATTATGCTTTCAGGGGTAGCTGAAACAAACTTTAGATACCCCTCATTGGAAAGCTAGTGGAAAGAGGAATTCAGCGTACTAGTCAAATTTCACTGTCTCATATGTTTTAGGGTTGCATAATTTTGAAATGTCATTTCGAAATTCAATTTATTTTCAACGTCTCAATCGCTCAAAATGTGTGTCGAACAATTGATTTTTTGCCATATTTGCTATCTGCTATTGTATTCCAGTTTTTTTTATAGGGCCGCAGGAAGGAATTAAGTTTTTCTGCAACCGACACAAAAGTCGTCCATTTTGATACCAAAATTAGCACTTAAATTGACGTTTCTATTACTGACACAAAAGTAGGTATGTTGCTAGGCAACATATTTAGTTCCTAGGAGCTAAAGTTGAATTTTAGTTCCTAGGAGCTGAAGTTGAACTTTAGCTCCTAAATGTATAAATTAACATAATCTACACTACTGAAATATTTGAAACGATCCGGCCGTGCCGCTTCTACTAGAAAGTAGCAGCAACTTCGATTTTTCAAATGGGACACCCTGTATTTCATTACATTCTTGAATTCCTGCTGAACAGCAGAATTCATCGATTCCAAACATTTAAGGTCTAGCGGGACTGATAACTGAGATATAGGATGTGGAAAATCGAGATGTTTCAACTTTAGAAATGTTTTGTGTTGAAACTATTTATTATTGCATGGTCAAAACGGCTTCAATGTCCCTATCACAACTTTCCATTCGATATTCAATTGAAACAGATACAGGGTGGTGCAGAAATCTGAATTATGAACCATCCTGTATTTGTTTCGATTAAATGTCAATAGATACAAAGTTAAGATAGGGACATTAAAGCCGTTTTGATCAATAATAAATATTTTCGCAAATTAATTCTAAAGTTGAAATATCTCGATTTTTCTCACTCTGTATATCTCAGTTATAGTCCCACTAGACCCCGAACTTTGACCCTGTATATCTCTGTGATAACAAAAAATCACAGATTCCGAGAAAAATATCAATTTGAAAAAAATAAATTGTGGTTTGTCAAGCTTTCAGAGATCACCGTGTAAAACTTTTGATAAGGGCTGTGGAAAAGCCTCATCGCGGCATTCAACTTCCGCATATTGTTTGTTTCTTCTCGATAAAACATAAGGTGAATATAGGGGTGGGCCTTTTCGATGGACAACCCTGAACTTTAACACCTGGCAACTATGTGATTCAATCATGAATCGTGACGTCAATAATTATTATGGTTGACAAAGTTCGACCGTTTGAATTAGAGAAAACTTTTAATTGTCAAGAATTCTTGGAAACAGTATTTGCGGTCGTTAGGGTCATTAGATGACATTCTGATGACATTGAAAACGACGGGAAAGCAAGTCTAACTTTCGATGTATGCTAGGGATTAGAATGTTTTCCCGTAGTTTTCAATGTCATCGTAACGTCATCTAATGACTTTGACGACCGCGAATAGGCTGCACATAAAAATTTGGTTTGTTGTTGTCCAAAGTTGAGTTTGGTAGTTTTTAAACTTTTAGCAGTGTTTCGATTTCTGCTTTTCTAATATTTCATTCGAATATTCTATATAGATTCATTGATTGTGGAGGCCATGAATAATTCTGATTGTCACCGATTCTATTGCAAATTGCAACAAAATTTGAAAATGACAGTTGACAGTTCCTACAATTCACAGGCCGGACAGGACTCAAACGACTGAAGGTGTGTTTGAAAAACTGTGTTGCCATGGTAACGTGTTTAATTTCTTTGAATGAATCTCAAATTGTTAATCCGTGATTAATCGATCATTTAGCGTGGTATATATCCCTACGCTAAATGCCATTTTGGTTATGTGAGTAGAAAAACAAATTCAAAGGATTGTATAGTATTCACAAAAATACAAAAGTACAAAGCATTAAAAACATCATGAAAGATTAAAAAAAACACAAATACATTATCAATAACAAAGAAACATTTTTAAATTTTGTTGATATAAATCATAATATACAGAAAGACTAGATGTTGTATGCAAAATACTTCTCCAAACTGTAGAAGCACTTTCCCTCGACAAGGTTCTTTACTAATTTTCTGAATTGTTTCTGGTCATTGACTGAAGTGATTTTATTTGGTAAATGATTATATACTTGTCTACTTTTATATATTTGAGACTGCCTGGTCAAGGATGATCTAGCATGATCTAATGTAGCAAATTGGAATTAAAAATCGACCTGTCTCAGAAGATTCCTCAAAAATTAATAGTTAGGATGTATTCTACCATCTGAGGCGATCCATCTTACAGTGGAGTGAAGGAAATAGGACAGGACAAAATTCTTACAGTCTACTCCACCAAAACTATACTTCATTGTAAGCAATCTTACAGGGACATGTTTCGAAGCTTTAAAGCTTCATCATCAGCGCTATTGTTACATAGGAGCACTAAAGTGAGAGGTGTATTCTGTATTTTACGAAAGCATTGTTACGAATAACCCTTTTTTTTTTAGATCAACTAATCCGTTTGAATTTCAGGTACTGATACGGTTCCGAAAAAGAAGGTCGAAACGGAATCCAGCAGCACAGAAACAGACGCCAAACTGTCGAAAGGCCGTTCGCAGCAAGACAGTTTGGAGAGGAACCGGAAAAAACTCCACCGGAAGTCTAGCTTGCATTTGGAGGCTGCCGAAACGCTGAGCAGGAGCACCTCGCAGAAAGCGCTGTCCAAACCGCTGGTGGCTGTGAAAAACAGTTGCGTCGAGTCGAAATCGGACAGCAGTTCTAGCGCGAATTGCAAGATGGACAAGAGAGGAGAGCACGAAGGACAGGAGAGATGTCAGCTGATCGCGAATAAGGCAGAGGGCAAGGACATGGTGAGGTGTTCGCCGTCTGTCGATTTGAGTACAAATCCAAACGTTACTTTTGTATCGACCACTAGCATTCCAGAATTGAGGTGAGTTAGTATCCCTTTCTCATGACATAACTTTTTTGTTCTCCGCCTAAATTCAATCAACTTTATTATTCCCATGAAACAACATTTGTTTATAGCAGGGAATATGGTGAATATATTCAACGAAATAAAGTAGACAGTAAAATAAGACTCACAGTCGAAAAAAATCCTTTTTTTCTGTGACGGGAAGAAAGTTTGGCATTTCATCTCTGTTGGCAGGTTATGAAATGTCACTTTTCATAAATTACTTTTTTCCCGTGGGAAAAAAGTGAGTACTTCTTTCCCGGATATATATCACATATATATACTCTGTTAATGGCTTTTGTTGTGCTAAAGTTCCGAAAAATGAGTCAATAATACCGTCTCCGAGAAAGAACTGCAAGTCCTTTTATCTTCCATTCGACTTCGCGGTTTCGTATATTACTAAACAACTACTGAATTCGCAATTATTTGAAATCAAATCACAGAATTGAACTGACAGAAGTGACATCAGATATTTGATTACTTCAAAAGAATGATAAAGATGCCTATAAGACGCAGGTGTCCCTACTGTTAAAAACTTGAAATTTCACGTCGATAATTTTCAGATTTCGAAATAATGTAATACCTTCTCAATATTGATTCGTCCTTCCTTCTGTCACAGAAAAAAATAGTGTATTATACACGGGAAAAATATTAGATTTTAGCTCACGGTTTTTTGTCCCCCTCCGCTACGCGTCGGGAGACAACACAACCTGGAGCTAAAATCTACTACTTTTTTCCCTTGTATAATAAATAACTATTTTTCTGTGACGGGAAAAAAGTTTGGCATTTCATCTCTGTTGGCAGGTTATAAAATGTCACTTTTCATAAATTACTTTTTTCCCGGATATATATCACATATATATATACACTGTTGATGGCTTTTGTTGTGCTATAAGTAGTTCCGAAAAATGAGTCACTAATACTTCGCGGTTACGTATATTACTAAACAATTACTAAATATATTACTAAACAATTACGAAATTCGCAATTTTTTGAAATCAAATCACAGAATTAGACTGACAGAAGTGACAGCAGATATTTGATTACTTCAAAAGAATAATAAAGATGCCAACAACACAGGTGTCCCTACTGTTAAAAACTTAAAATTTCACGTCGATAATTTTCAGATTTCAAAATAATGTAATATCTTCTCAATATTGATTCGTCCTTTCTTCTGTCACAGAAAAAAATAGTGTATTATACACGGGAAAAATATTAGATTTTAGCTCATGGTCAACACAACCTGGAGCTAAAATCTACTACTTTTTTCCCTTGTATAATAAATAACTATTTTTTTCTGTGACGGGAAAAAAGTTTGGCATTTCATCTCTGTTGGCAGGTTATAAAATTTCACTTTTCATGTATTACTTTTTACCCGTGGGAAAAGAGTGAAAACTTTTTTCCCAGATATATATCACATATACAGGGTGTCCCATAAGTAATGGATCAAAAGAAGTGGGGTGGTAGGGGGGGTCATTTCCAATCAAACTAACCGTATATGTTGTTATCAAATTGTTGATGGTTCAAAAGTTATTGAATTTTTTTGAAAAAAAGCGACCCATTTTTAAAAATATATATAACAAAAATGGGACACCCTGTATATACACTGTTAATGGCTTTTGTTGTGCTATAGTTCCGAAAAATGAGTCAATAATACCGTCTCCGAGAAAGAACTGCAAGTCCTTTTATCTTCCATTTGACTTATTACTAAACAACCACTAAATTCGCAATTTTTTGAAATCAAATCACAGAATAGACTGACAGAAGTGACATCAGATATCTGATTACTTCAAAAGAATGATAAAGATGCCTACAAGGCAGGTGTCCATACTGTTAAAAACTTGAAATTTCATGTTGATAATTTTCAGATTCCAAAATAATGTAATATCTTCTCAATATTGATTTGTCCTTTCTTCTGTCACAGAAAAAAAATAGTGTATTATACACGGGAAAAATATTAGATTTTAGCTCACAGCCTGGAGCTAATATCTACTACTCTTTCCCTTGTATAATCAATAACTATTTCTGAAGTGTAACTGAAAATGATTCTTAATTATGGTTTACATTATTTATTGTTCACCAAATCGTACTACTGAAACGTGAGGTCCGAGTTGGTAGAACTGATGAATATACTCCTTTTTTTTATATCATTTGGCCTCTACCTATGATATCTTCTTATCCGTCAATGTAAAAGTTGGTCGTAAAGTTCCACATTGAGATTAAAAAAACATTAGTCTGCTCAAGTCTTTCAATAACTTGAGGTTTTCTATTAGTTCAAATATTCTACATCATTTTTTCGGAATATTTTGAGGTTGTTCGGAAAAAATTTTTGGATTTTTTACTTTCACATTGACCTCACGTTTTAGTAACGCCAACTGGTGAGACTGAAAATGTTAGCTCTCATTGACTCAACTTCAACTTCAAACCTATGAAAATGAGATAAGATGCCAATATTACTGGAGAAGATGTTTCTTGATTTTTTTTTAAATTTTCAATCCTATCAAACAGTGTTGAAAAGGAATATTCTCAGATAAATTATGGACATACAAAAATGGATATATATTTATATGAAGCAATACATTGAGAATTCGCATTCTCTATGTGATGAGAATATCTACTCTTTTTCAGTTATTTGGTAGATGGATTTTTTTACCAATATCTGATTACTTTTCTTGAATATAAATGCTTTTGACAATTTTGAACTGGATTAATGAATGATAATAATTTTAATTTATTGACATCGCATGTTTTTAGCTAGGTAAAGATATTGATCAGAGATCTAATAATTTATTCTCTGCTAGAGGGGAGGAATTTTGGACTAACATGTGAACAAATACAATAAAAACTCAAATTTGGGGTTATAGTTATACAGAGGTTCATCATTTTTACTTCAAATGTGAAACTTTACATTGAAACTAACATGAAAGTAATACACCAGGATGCAAATCTGCTGATGACTGGAAAATCTTTTGTGGTGTCATGTTTATTGCATTAGTAAATCAAATTATTGTTGAAAAGGAATATTCTCAGATAAATTATAAACATACAAAAATGGATATATATTCATATAAAGCAATACATTGAGAATTCGCATTCTCTATGTGATGAATATTGACTCTTTCTCAGTTGATTCAATAGAAAACAACTACTTTCCTGGCTATATGCCACGACGAACATTGAACACACGATAAGAATTTGAAAATAAAATATAAAAACTTCTGAAATTGAGAATTTGCATTCTCCTTCAGATAAAAATATGTATATGCACACATCATTCTGAATATTCTCATCACATAGAGAATGCGAATTCTCAATGTATTGCTTTATATAAATATATATCCATTTTTGGTTGTTCATAATTTATCTGAGAATATTCCTTATCAACACTTTCATACCCAATCAGGGGGTTAAACTTGAACGATGGAAACTTGTGATTTTTATAGACTTCTAATCGCAGATTCGTGATAGAGTCTCAATTCAGAATTTCTTTCCACGTCCTGTATGATGAATGTCAATTTATCATACACCCAAAAGCAAATTATTGTTATTTAATTTGAGTTTAACTTTCGTCATTGCCTGTTTTCCCACATTGTAGCTGACCTTGAGGTCGATAATGTATCACACCTGATACCGATATCTACAGTAAATCGATAAATTCCTTTGAAAAAATGAATAGGTTGTCGAAAATGTATTATTTTCTGTAGTGATGAACTAAGTGTGTTGAAGACTGTATTTCATATTTCTTCTTCTTGAAGAAGCATGTTGTAACTTCTTTCAAGTGTTGCCATGATGTTCTTTGAAATTCCAGAGAAAAGAGATCTATTGTGAACGGACTGAGTCCAGGAATGGATGAACAATCGGAGTACTTCGATGCCACTGAAAATCCAATAATAAAAGACAAACGACAAGAACAAGAGGATGACGATAGCGGTGTGGATAATGCTAGTCAAATATTGAGGGAGTCATCTGTGAGTTTCAGTATTTATTTATGTGAAAAATTCTGCCAGTCTTGATTATTTATTTGAATTAAAAAACAACAGGAAGGCCAAACACAGATATACAAGGTGTTTTTGAAATGAGTGTACATATTCAGCACATCGATATGATACAGTCTAAGGAATACTCCCATGATATCAGATTTCTTCTAATTTCTTTAATTAACGGGAAAGGACCCCGCACGAAAACACGGTAAATTGGCTCTCGGTCGAATTGGCTGAAATTTTACTATGTTATTGTGGAATGGCTCATTAGAAAAATATGTGGGTTTGAAAAGTTTTGTATGTTTAGTTTCCGAGATATAAGCCGACAAAGTTCGTAAAAACGTCGTATCGGGGTAGGATTGACGAAGAAAAAAACTTTTTTTAGTATAAATAAGATAAAAAATACCTGGAAAATATATTGATCGGAACTCGAATACATGTCTAGTTATGATTACATTAAATATAATAACTCAGGGTGTATACGAGGCACGGTCTAAAAATTCATTTTTCGGAAAAAAAATTCGAGCACTTACAAAACCAACAAGTTATATTTTGATGATACATTATAGTTTTAGTCTATTGTAGGCTTCGAAAACGTATTTTGATTCTTGATAACTATCTCTGTTCGAAATATGAATTCTTTGAATTTTGGAAAACAGTTGACAGCTTGTTTTCGATCACAAAGAAATGGATTGATTGTTACTGTTGATTGAATGAAAGCTGAGGTAACTCACTAGCGAATTCAGTTGTTCAATATTGCCTTTCATTTAGATACAGGGTGTGTTAGATTTTGTTGAAGATTATTTAACATGTTTCAATTGAATATCTCGAAAACAGTTCCGTTAATGTGGATCTCATTTTACCTACACTATTTTGAATATGTTGACTATCATATGCGAAAAGTTTTTCAATTTCTTATGTTTCGTTTCTGAGATATGAATTTTTGAGTTCACAGTATTACAGGTATTATAGGGTTATTACCTCGGATATTATTATCAAAAATTGATATCTCAGAAACGAAACATAGAAAATTGAAAAACTTTTTGCATATGATAGTCAACATATTAGAAATAGTGTGAGTAAAATGAGATCCAAATTAACGGAACTGTTTTCGAGATGTTCAATTGGGAGATGTTAAATAATCTTCAACAAAATCTAACACACCCTGTATCTAAATGAAAGGCAATATTGAACAACTGAATTCGCTAGTGAGTTACCTCAGCTTTCATTCAATCAACAGTATCAATCATTCCCTTTCTTTGTGATCAAAAACAAGCTGTCAATTGTTTTCAAAAAGTGGTATAACACAAAATTCTAAAAATTCTTATTTCGAACAAAGATAGTTATCAAGAATCAAAATACGTTTTCGAAGCCTACAATAGACTAAAGCTATAATATCCCACCAAAATATAACTTGTTGCTTTTGGAATAGTGCTCGAATTTTTTTTTCCGAAAAATGAATTTTTTGACCGTGCCTCGTATACACCCTGATTTAAAATAATTTATGTGATTATAACTAGACATGTTTATGAGTTCTGATCAATACATTTTCTAGCTTAGTTTGTTTCATTTATACTAAAAAAACAGTTTTTTTCTTTGTCAATCCTACCCCGATACGACTTTTTTACGAACTTTGTCGGCTTATATCTCAGAAACTAAACATACAAAACTTTTTAAACTCACATATTTTTCTAATGAGCCATCCCACAACAGCAGTAAAATTTCAGCCAATTCGACCGAGAGCCAATTTCCCGTGTTTTCGTGCGGGGTCCTTTCATCCCAAGAATTGAGCAAAATACGAGAAAAACATCTAGTACGCTACTTAAAACAATTTGAATGATTGAACTCTGCGTGATTATACCTACCGCATAAAAATTTGAACAGAGGTGACGTCAGATTTGCTACAGTGTAGTACTTTGGGTGGAAAAAGGGGTCTAACCTCAAATTTTATTTTGATCCCTAATTTTTTTTATTAGTGTCATTCGATAGTACACGTCAAGCTTTCTCAGTGTTTGAAATATTTGCACTTATTTCAATGCCACCCTGTATTGTAGAAACACATAATTTCAGATTCGATTGAGATCGATCTCTCCATCATAGAACACTGTCTCTGAATAGGGTCGGTGATATGAGCCAAGCGTTGAGTCGTCCAAATAACCTAGAATGTAATCGAATGAATACAATTCAAATGTGCATAAAACTGAAATATAGTTTATAGTTGTAACATAGCATGAATGCATCGTTTCTATGACAAGATATGCAGTGATACTTGACAAAACACTATTTCAATACCCTTAAATTTCATGAAACGTTGTTAAAATATAGCGTTCGACTCGAAAATTGTTAACTCAACAGGGTGATTCATCCAGGTTGACAGAAATATATTTCTTCTTTTTTTTTTCATACGACGAAGGCGTGCTTTTATTCAAAACATTCAATAAACATCCACCAGCTTTCAGCAGCAAGCTTTATCTAACTTCTGATGCCTTTCGGGTGTCCACTGGCGGCCATTTTGGAAAATTGCCATCACGGCCGCCAGGGGGCAGTTTGCCGATGGCTTCTCATCCCAATTTGTTTATATTATATCGGTTTACCTCTGTGCCATATTTGGTGCCTTCATCAAGAAGTTCACAATATATTCAAATATTCTAGCTCAACTGGCGCACTACAATATCAGTACTTCAGAAAATGTTAGGATGAATTCATGCAAGACTTAGGCTCGGTTAGGTTCCATTTGAGTGGGGCGAATACCGCCCCTCCACTGCGATCCTAGATTGGTCTATTGTGGCTCACCCCTAGAGGTTACAGTTCACTGTAGAATCCACATCTTTTTACAAAGTACATGGTTGAATTAGGTGAGATTTGTCTGAAATCGATAGGTTCCAAATTGGTAAAGCCAAATATGTGTTCAGCCGTTTCGTCTTCCACACAGCAGAACCAACAGTCTGATTGTTGGTTCAGACCCATCCTTCCCAGGTGGTATCTTAGACGACAGTGTTCCGTAAGCAGTCCTGTCAGAATTCGCGGGTTACTCCTGCTCCATTCTAGGATCGGCCTGGTTATATTTTTTATGGTTTAGGCAGAAACGCCTTCGAGTGGGTTAATCCTGGTAATTCAGACCAGTACGTGAGTCTTTTCCCCTCCGCCCAGTTCGAGATAGTTGTTTTGGCCGCACTTGCGGTGATGGTTCTGGTCCTATGAACACAGATTCGGTTCCCTGTTTGGCGAGGATGTCGACTTTCTCGTGCCCTCCACCCCCTGGAGTCCAGGCACCCACAGCACAGCACCCAGGCATTCTAGGGATTCAATACAGCTTTATACAATGCAAGACTTAACTTCGTCCTAGCTTGAGAATTATAGAAGGTGTTTGGTGAATTCAGAATTGATATTTGAACTTTACTAATCATCAATTCTTCCGTTAGGACTTACTTGCGGTTGTATATTTCTTTGTATATTAACTAATTTTTTTACAAAATAGGTACTACCAGGCACCTGTTCCATATACTTCAGAGACAAAGCTCCTGAAATTTTCTTCCCAATGGACATAAGATGTAAGCCCTCCTTAGGATAAAACAGTATCATCAACCGCAAAGAGCAAGAATTAACAATACAACAAGTCAACAAGGGTTGTTTGCCATACGCCAACTTGATTTCGGAAAGTTATAAAAGAATGAAAGGACCCCGCACAAAACCATAGGGAATTGGCCCACAGTGGGATTTGCCTGAAATTCACCTATGTTATTGGTATGGAGTTTTTGATCAAATGTCTCCATGTGACCAATCTTCTAAGACCAAAAATCAGCTCTCAGGGCCGTATTTAGTATAGGTGCCAAATAAACAATGACACTTTTTTTTTCAAGCCCATGATTTTTGTATCTCCCATTATAATTCAATTGAATGAGAAATGTTGCGAAATCTTGGCATTTGCCTTTTAAAACAAGTCCTCTGTAAAACATGCCTTATTGTCCTACAGGACCGTATTTAGTAAAACTGTATTTGCCAAAGTGCCGAATCGAATTGATTTTGTTATTACTTTCTTATTTCTTGTCCTATTTCAGTGATTGTTTGATAGATGGATTTAGTTTTTTTTGTGCACACAACAAAAGTGGATATGTAGGACATATCGAACATATTATGGCAGCAACTTAATAATTGTTGTTCTAAAATTGTTAATGAGCATGTTCCTCGATTTCCACACCTATCTATAGAGAACTTGAGAAACGTGACTTTTGGAACATATCAAATCAAATTATCTGCGTCCTATGTCCAAGACAGAATACTGAGAGATGATCATTAGTCGTTTGAAATTGATCTCAGAGTGAATGAACCTGGATTCATTAGACTTAGAGTGTATTCTCGATTCAGGAGGAGAAAAAAATATCAAGTATTCATTCAATACACTCCGCATGAAAACCAGCCTGACGAGAATAATGAAGAAGATGTATTGATAATAGGATACTACTACAGTTGCAAATCAGGGGCAAGGACACAGGAACATGTGCTCATATTTGTAGCATATTGTGGTATTCAGGATTCGGTTTCAATTTTGTTAGTAATGAATTAGATGAAGTTTCCATTAGATAGTAGAGTTATATTTATATTATAGAGTTAGGTAATTGAAGAAGTAAATGACCGATTTCAACAATCGAAACGTGTTCTTATCTTTTCTTGTTACTATGATTCCTAAAAAGCTACGAGATATATGTCCTACATAAAGATTAAATGTTAGGCCGACCATCTTGAGAATATTAAGATGGTGACCACTTTTGTTATGTACACAAAGAAATCTACATTCATCTATCAAACGACCACTGAAATAGGACAAGAAATAAGAAAGTAATAACAAAATCAATTCGATTCGGCACAAATACAGTTTTACTAAATACGGTCCTGTAGGACAAGGCATGTTTTACAGAGGACTTGTGCTAAAAGACAAATGCCATGATTTCGCAACATTTCTCATTCAATTGAATTATTATGGGAGATACAAAAATCATGGGCTTGAAAAAAAAAGTGTCATTGTTTATTTGGCACCTATACTAAATACGACCCTGAGAGCTAAATCTTTGGTCTTAGAGGATTGGTCACATGAAAACATTTGATCAGAAACTCCATACCAATAACATATGTGAATTTCAGGCAAATCCCACTGTGGGCCAATTCCCTATGGTTTTGTGCGGGGTCCTTTGTAAAATATAAATAATTTTGTGAAATCATACTCGGTCTATTTCTCTCTTATATTTGCTATTATTATAGGACAACCGAAACATTATCTTGTTCACATGTAGTTGTTCCACTCTTTGATTCGATATTCTTGATTCGATATTCTTTCCAGACAAGTCCCGCAATGGAAGGCAACCGATTATCGAAAATTCCAGTAGCTGTTAGTGGCCAGCGGCTGGCCAAATGTATGTCTTGGTCAGGCGATCTCACGCCAGGACTTCGAAGACGAAGGCAAAATGAAAAATACGTAACAGATCCTACTCAACTCAAACTTAGATTCAAAAGACATTCGAGCAGTGGTGAGTCAACACTTATTGTATTTATGGTCTTCTATCAAATCTAATATATCTACAGGGCTTTTCCGAAATTGGAGCAATACATAAAATGGGGTGATCGATCACACATAATGACACAATAAATGCCAAGAATAGTTATAAAAGTTACAAGGCCGATGTGTAACAAATAATTTTTTTGAGTATCGGCCGTGTGTCGTTCAAGACTTCTCGTAATCCCGCTGAAAGATTACATTTTGATTCCGAGGACAGAATAAACCACGTACCTCGTACAGAAAAATCCGAACAGCAAGCAATCTTAACGGACCGAGAATGTTAACATTAACTTTTCAATTGCAATCTGAATACAGTTGAATCAAAATAACAGTATGGGATGACGAAAAATTTTAATAGCTGTAGAAAATTTTCGAAAAACTGATGATTGAACTCACCATAGTTTGGGAAGCACTGGTCTGATTCGCCAGTACGCGCTCTCGCGGTATCGTTGTGTACTTCCACACTGTTACCAGTGATACTCTCTTAAATCTCAGGATTTTTGGTAAGGGTTCACACTGTATATATTTGCGGCAAAGAAACGAGCCGAGTCAGACAAACCAGTTTTATTCTTCCCAAACTTGCTAGGTATCTGCAAACTGATAGATAAAACATCAAATATTGCCGCGTCACTGATTCACAATTAAATGAAAGAAAAATAGGAACTTAGCGGAGTCCAGTACTTAATTGTTATAAAGATGTAATAGCATCAACTCACCTGACAGGTCAGGCACACTGCTACTCAAATAGACGTATTTCAGCGCAGTTGGAAACCACAAAATTCTATTCAATATCTGACACTTTGCTGGGTATGAAAGGAATTAATAATCTTAGATGACACTCTCTGATACGCAATGATCGAAATTCACTAGGACCACGAAGAACGACAATTTCGTGAAAAAAATGAACAAACTTTTTCGACGCTCTAAATAAAAACTGACATAGGTGCCACACGGCAAATAGTAATCCGAGTTATTTAGCTCCAGTGCAGTACTCGTGGGGTGGTGATAAACCAAATCCAGAAATGAACAGGATGAAATTGGAAGGTTGTATGCTACTCTATATCAGTTTCGCTACAGAATTGTCAGTATATAATTTAATAGCAACATCGACGATTACATTATATGACCATCTTAACATACAACTATCTATGGAAACCTCTTGCTTGCCAGGTCGCACGTCAAAAAGGAACAACTCCTATGATTTTTCAGTTGTCCAGTGCTACCTACTACAATCACAAACATAATTACAACCCTGACAACCAGAATCAAGATATCCAATACATGCACAATGCACAAATGAAACCAAGATGTTTTTAAATTCCTAAACATTAGGATTAACAACAGAATGCACTTGAGGATAGAACCGGAACAAAAACTTTATATTCTGGGATCAATTTCTCTGCGTTGGTTTTTCGACATGTTGCGGTAAATTGTTTCTTGGAGTAATATTTTGTCTCGTACAAAAACTCAGAATGTATTATGAAACTTTATCACGTCTGTTTTCACAGTGCATCAATATCGAACTGCTTGGAGATTCACTACCTGTTTCTGAAAGGGTAGTTGTGATTCTATTTGGGTGAAATACTCGCAAATAGGTCTGTGAAAAAATATCGATATACAGTTCTCAACACACTAAATGGGCAACTCATAATTTGACTCTATTTCGAGGACCTGTATTTTTTTTAAAACAGACCGATCTTCATGCGGGTTTTGATATTAGATGTGATATTTCATCGGCTTCGAAGAGAGCTAGAACACTCTGAAAAGGTCCGCAGAACAAAACTTACACAGGATGTAAAGTGGAACCATTACACAATGGTCTACATTTCCAATGCTGCCAGAACTCGAGAAATTTTTTTCTCATCAAAAGTCAGCCATATTATGATACACTGGGACCTCATCTCGGGACGTTTTCGTGATTTCTCCTCAATTGGATATTGGAACAAAAATTCGATTTTTTTTTTTCGAAAGTCTTGCATTTCTTGAATATTTTCTGTAGAACTCCACTTGAGCTGACTATTGGGAAGAACTGTTCTCATTTTTTGTGGAGAACAATGAAAGACGAAAAAGGCACTATTGTGGAATGATACAGGATGATAAGAAAATAGGACAAAATCTCATTTCAGTAAAAACAATATAAAATTGTGACTAAAACCATGGCCCATTCGATTCAGTATATTCAGTAACGGCCTTTTCGATATCCATCATTTATATCAGACTATTAACTCGAGACGTTCTCGAAAATTCGCCTCTAATTGAAATACAGGATGAAAATTTTTCAATTCAAACTTGTTTCCTGATATCGATGATTCTTATCAACTGATTTCCAATATTTATTGCCCAAGTATGAGACACAGAGTATTGTTGTTCAATATACTGAGTGTTTCATAACTTATCTGACAAATTACTAACTCTAGAAAACAATAATGTCAGAAGAATGTGGTGACCAGCATTATCTCCAGATCTAAATTTGATTGAACATGTGTGGAGCCGAATGAAACTTAACCTATATCAGAAGAATGGGAGGCAATATTGATAGACTTCATCAACAACCTCATAGAAACTATGCCAAACCGATGGCATGCGGTTTTCTTAAATCGGAGAGGCCCTACTAAGTACTGAAATTTAGGATATAGAACTTTTTAGTCGAATCTTCATAATGCTGAAGAATTCACTAATGTCATATTTCGCCAATAGTGTTATGAATTTTATTTTCCATCTCGTTTTACTTCTATAAAATTATTATGTGAACGACTTCTTATGTAATATTGTAGTTGTGGTTGAAATTTGTCAGATGAAATGTGAAACACTCAGTATATTGAACAACAATACCCTGTGTCTCATACTTGAGCAATAAATATAGGAAATCAGTTGATAAGAATCATCGATATCAGGAAACAAGTTTGAATTGAAAATTTTCATCCTGTATTTCAATTAGAAGCGAATTTTCGAGAAGGTCCTTTCTGAACATATTGAATCGAATGGGCCATGGTTTTAGTCACCATTTTTGTTTTTTTCACCGAAATGAGATATTGTCCTATTTTCCTGTATATTCCTGTCCTGTATATTCCACAATAGTGCTTCTTTCATTGTCCTCCACAAAACATGAGAACAGTTCTTCCTAATAGTCAGTTCAAGTGGAGTTCTAGAGACGAATTTCAAGAAATGCGAGACTTTCGAAAAAAATCGAATTTTTGTTCCAATGGTCAATTAAGGAGAAATCACGAAAACGTCCCGAGATGAGGTCCCAGTGTATCATAATATGACTGACTTTTGATCAGAAAAAATTTCTCGAGTTCTGGCAGCATTGGAAATGTAGACCATATTGTAATGGTTCCACTTTACACACTGTGTAAGTTTTGATCTGCGGACATTTTCAGACAGTTCTAGCTCTCTTTGAAACCGATGAAATTTCACATCTGATATCGAAAACAGCATGAAGATCGGTCAGTTCTTTCAAAAAATACAGGTCTTCCAAATAGAGTCAAATTATGAGTGGTCCATTTAGTGTGTTGAGAACTGTAGATAAATATATCGAATAGCAATATACAATTTCAAAAATATCGATATATCGATAACTATAACTCAATATATCAGTAACTATCGATAATTGTCGATATATCGATAATTATCGATTTTTTCTCAATATTTGGAAGAACTAAATTAATTTTATTCTTGTGTCCCCTAGACGCTTTCGTAATATCCAGACGATATTTATAATATTCAAAATTTTTTTGTTAGGCTTGTTCAGGCATGAAAATATATTGCGTAGGTAGGTAGGTATGGGTAGTTTTATGCTGATTTAATTAGTTTGGTTGAAGATTCACTAACCTTTGGTTTGTAGAAATATAAGATTAATTTTAGTTAGGCCTGGAAAAAAATCGATATGTCGATATCTAATTTTAAAAAATCGATAGGTATATCGATTTATAATTTCAACTTATTTTGACTTATAGATAATCGATATGTCAAATCTAATATCGCGCAGTCCTACTCGCAAAACTATTATCTAACGCAAAAATGTACTTGATCCCATTCGTGTTCGTCCGTTAACCTCTGATAGAAAGTGGTTCTCACAAGTTACTGTCGAACTCAAAATTTCAATATTTTCCAAAAATTTTTTTTACAAAAATGTATTCTTGAATTTCGTTTTGTTTTTTCATTTTCTATTACCCTTTTCATGTATCGCCCTTATTTCGGAAAAACCCTGTATAGTATCGGATAGCAAAGCGCCTATCACTAATAATTATAACCTTGAACGTCTTAAGGCCATATTGCTTTCTTTCCTATTCATATCATTCATTTCCTTCTCCAACCAAAAGTCCTGTCAAATATGTATCGTATTGTTTTTGATATTGCAACTTTATTCCGGAGTTGACTTTTCAAAGAAATAAAAAATCGTCATGTGAAGAAAAAAACACCGTTTGTGGAGTTTTTTCAAATACATGTAATAAGTTCACTGAAAATGAGAGGAGTTTCTAATTTGCTCAGTTTGTTGTGAAATGATACAGCATCAATATCATTGACATAAAAATACATGGTTGTTTTGTTTACACAATCTTTGCAGGTTTTCTAATTACTATAGAATACAGTGTGTCCTACTTTTCTTCTTGGCATCAGGTGTTTTCTACTATTGAACCTCGAATCCCATTTCAAATTCCTCTCAAATTCACGTCAGTTTGTGATCCCATGAGCTTCTTTTTTATTCTATGATACGGCTATTCGATGGATATCCATTGGACCTTTCGGATGTTTGGGATATCCAGAAAACATCGATTTGAAATCTGATGTATATTTAATGAACGTTCAATATAGATATCGTTCATGGATATTCATAAGATGTTTTTCAATTAAACTCACGATATATCCTCAGGGATGTCCATGAAATTATTCATAGATATATTTTAAGGGTATCATTGATATACCGGTTGTCCCAAGTTATCGGATACAGGCAATATCTAGCTCATATGACAAGATGATCAGAAAATGAAAAAGCGGCTCTGAATGGCATCGAAGCACCTTCCTAATGACTCATAAAAAATAGATTAAATTTGACAGCCCTATGGTAGCTACTCTTCACTTTTAATTTTCAAATGACACACCCTGTATTTCATTCCATAATCGGTTAGGGATCATCATAACGAATTCAACGATACTGGGTTTGATAGGGTTATTTCAAACGATTACGGAGATATTCGCGTCCTAAATTTCCATATGCTCAATGAGTGTGACAGAGAAAGAAGTTCTGATATTGCACTATTACACTCATTGAGCATATGGAAACTTCGAATGCAAATATCTCCGTAATCCTTTGAAATAACCCTATCATACTTGGTATCTAATAGATCTAGAATAAAATACAGGGTGTGCCATTTGAAAATGAAAAGTGGAGAGTAGCTACCACAGGGCTGTCAAATGTAATCCAATTTTTTATGAGCTATTAGGAAGGTGCTTTGATTCCATTCAAAGTTGTTTTTTAATTTTCTCATTATCTTGTTTTTATCTTCTGGTTCCCACGAAAAGGGATATCCTGTAATGTTCAGAGAACATCGTGAGAACCAAATAAGCGAGATATTGCCTGTATACGATAACTTGGGACACTCGGTATATAAATCATTGAGGAATATCATGTATCTTGTTATCACATCAGAGGAATAAAACCAAGAGGTTAAATAACGAATGTATTCATTCAATCTTGAAAATTGACCAAAAACATAATATTCTGGATATAAATGGAATTGTTTTTTTACACAAAAACAAAAATATAGTTGAAATATATGGGATAGTAGAATATCCTCATTTCATTTGAAAATAAATTGAAACAAATCATAACAGAGATCCCTTCTAAGAGAATGACAATATTAGGGAACAAAATTCTGGAAAAAGTAGAATACTCTGTGATTAAGTTTTTTGAAATGATTTTCATGGATGTCATGTGAATTTATATGTATATTTGCCTTTTCACCGGACAGCTATGTTGAAATTATAAATATCTAATGGATGTCCTGGAACAAAATTGAAGATATTAATTGTTTCAAGAAGATACATATCTTGTATATTCCACATGGGCAAAAAAGGCGTGGATATCAAATATTCAGCTTGATATTTTTTTCTAATCCATCGATGAATTATTCATGGATATGCATCTAAAGTCCAAAAAAAAAGAAAAAATAGTTAGGATACGAGGATGTACCGTTCAGAAGGGCAAATTCATTTGTACAAAAATCTAAAATAAAACAAAAATAGCTAATGACGTTGCACATTATTTTCGATATTCAGATGAATTTATATCAATTGCTTTGAATATTTTACAACCATAGAGAAGTGCCGTTCGCCTGGTGGGTGATGCAACACTATCTAACTCTGACATCAATGGAACATCGTAGTAAAATCGGCGACCTTTCATTTCTCTATAGATATTTCCTCCACCTTCCTTTCGTTGTCAACCTGGAAATATTCCGAACGGCACTTTATCACAACTCATTTGTATATAGAACGGCAAAGCACTGGTATTCATTGCCTAAGGAACAAACTTATATCTCCTGAATTTCAAAAAAAATTCCTTTATCTACCTCATTTCCTTATCCTCCCTAGGTACGCACGATGTTCTTCGAACATTATAGGGATTCCCTTTCGTGCGCCCCAAGCGATAAAAAAAGGATGTCTGTTTAGAATTCATCGATGAATATCCATCTGAAGCCCAGGAAGAAAAAAATATATACGAGTATTTTGTACGGAACCGTTGGAGAGGATTTCCTGTGTTATATGGATTCCCACAGTCCCTCTAGCACAAAAAAGAATTACCTGGTGTTACACAAACTTACGACAAGTAATTTGACATATTCTAAATCGTGAATCGAAAAAATAATAGGGAAAAGTAAAAAAATTGTATATTAAAGCATAAGTGGCTATTAAGGTCATATAAACGCGTGATTTTTAGTGCACGACGGCCTAGCCAGAGAGCTCAGAATAGAGCTGAGACGTCCTTTAAATAAGCAAAAAGGGTACCAATGATAAGATTTTAGTCCGAGAATGAGGGATATAAGGTCCCGTAGTAATAATATTCTTCACTACCAAGGTTTATATTGATTTTGTTTTTCACCACTTGCAATATATTTCAATCATTATAGTTCAGTGAAACTGAAATATTGACCTATTGTCACTATGAAAGCACTTATTTGCAATTCTAATCAAAATCTAGTAGCCAAGGCAGCATTTGAGAAGTTATTATTGATAAATACCTTCTAGATTTGCATGTCATTCCTGAGAATCTCAGAGTTGGCTGTGTCTTTATTGACTAGTCGTATATAAAATGAAGAAAACCAACTTTACCACTTTTTCGCCTTGAAAATGAGTAATTAATGTTAGGTTCTATAGCTTCTGGTGAAAAATAATTCATCCATGCTTCTTCTTGTTCCTCCATAGTTGATCATTCACATAATCCATGGTATCTTTGATGGAGCCAAGATCAAAAGTAGCACTCGCTGTATGCCGAATAGTGGTCCAAACAGACATCGAATCACCCCCTAAACTAGGCGTATTTTTCAGGTTTGGAAAAGATAATAGCGCTAGCGAAGAACACCCTGCTGTGGCTGCCCGAGCAGTGTCTGTACGGTATTTATGTCGTTTCAGGTGTCCGCGCCAGAGGCGTTTCGAGCTGCCTCATCGACGCGCCCGAGAGCTCGCCGGAATCGTCCGAGGGGCAGGCACCGCCGCCCCCGCCCACGGGCGAACCGCCCTCGGAGTCGCAGGTGCGCTGCCGGCGGTTCCGCCCCGTCACATAGTAGACCGATATGTCGATGAATAAATGTATTTATGCGAGGTTTTTTGCGTGACGAGTTCATTGAGCGTTTTGATGTTTCGATTGGAATAGTCTAAGAGCCAGCGCCAAAAATTCTCTCTCTCTTGAAGAGAAGTGGTTGACTTGCTTTACAAATTACTCTCATGCAAAAGCCTTCCCAGAACTTACTTCTACACGGAGAGCCAGAGCCAAAAAGATTCTCCGAATTTACTAAGCCTAGTTTTTTACAATGGTTTTGTACACAAACATACTGCGGTCAGTCAAGCGAAACTGAGAACAGGTATCCCTGGTATACTATCGAAGTTGTCGTTCCTACCGAGGTAATGCAATGAATTAACTAAGCCTGGAAATCATTATACACATTGTATATTGCGTATGAATGAAAGTTATGAAAGTCAGTCAGCTGACTGTGAGGACGGTAGCTGGTCATTCAGTCCCAATATATGCAAAAAAGAAATGAATCGCAATTCATTTACTACACTTCAAAATTTTTGTGAGGATATTTGTTATATCAATCATGAAAAAATTTGTCAGTCATCGATTCTGCGGGACAACGCCCGTCAGTCAGCAAAAAAAGAAATACAAATTTCGCGCACGCGATCGCCGTTGCAGGCGGCGGCTCGCTCTTTTCCTCATGATTATTCAACGAAATCGATTGATTAGGCCATTTATTGATTATAATTCGATAGATAATATTAAACATTCAGTATATTCTACAGTGTGTCACACTTCTCATGGAAACACCCCACTATTTTGTATATAAGCGTAATATTGAAAGCTATGTCTGCTCACATTCATCCACAAATCATCATTGAAAATCTGCATGATTTCATCATTATCAAAGTGCGATCTATTGTCACGAAATCAGTTTGTATGACCCAATTCATAGCTAGTTCCTTTGGATGATGGTGGACAGCTGGTGGATGTAATTCATTCAGACTTTCCGAAAGCATCCGACCGACTTGGATTCGATCGAATAGAAAACTACACGTTCGGTACCATGGATTCAATTCTATTGAATTCACAGCTTCATCTGATGTGCCACAGGGATCAACTCTCGGACTTCTTTTATTCACCATCCTTATAAATGATATCGCACTGTATAGCTAAAGTTTAATGTTTTATTGTATGCCGATGATTAAAAAGTGTATACCGTAGTAAATTGTCTTCATTGTATAGGAATTACTTCATTGTGAATTACTTCGAAAATACCTTCATAGTTTTAATATCTGGTGTAATTCCAACTCTCATCAGTACTGAAAAACTCTAAATTATCTAAATCTTCCGAATTTTTCGACGTAGAAATATGAAATTTTCTGGATCGATAGATGCACTGAAAATTAACTCAATGCACAAAAAATGTCATCCCTACGTGATATTCACAGCACGCCAGCAGAGACGAATTGAAATTTTTCAGGGCTGATTTTTTTATATAAAAATTTGGAAATCCTGAACACGAATTCGGAATTTCCGGTCAATTTTGCCTCCTAATATAATTTTCCAGCAACATGGGTAGATCCATCAATATTGACGTGCAGTTTATATCACGTAGGATGACCCCTTTCGTGCAGTGAGTTCATTTTCAGATATTGTTCCTGAAATTTTCATGGTTCTACGTCAAAATATACGGAAAATAGTGGGGTGTTTCCATGAGAAGTGAGACACACTGTATAATATACTGAATGTTCAATATTATCTATCGAATTATAATCAATAAATGGCCTAATCAATCGATTTCGTTGAATAATCATGAGGAAAAGAGCGAGCCGCCGCCTGCAACGGCGATCGCGCGCGCGAAATTTGTATTTTTTTTTGCTGACTGACGGGCGTGGTCCCGCAGAATCGATGACTGACATGATTGATATAACAACAAATATCCTCACAAAAATTTTGAAGTGTAGTAAATGAATTGCAATTCATTTATTTTTTGCATACATTGGGGCTGAATGACCAGCTCCCGTCCCCACAGTCAGCTGACTGACTTTCATAACTTTCATTCATATGCAATATACAATGTGTATAATGATTTTCAGCCTTAGTAAATTCATTGCATTTACCTCGGTAGGAACGACAACTTCGATAGTATACCAGGGACACCTGTTCTCAGTTTCGCCTGACTGACCGCAGTATGTTTGTGTACAAAACCACTGTAATAAACTGTGAAAAAACTAGGCTTAGTAAATTCAGAGAATCTTTTTGGCTCTGGCTCTCCATCTAGAAGGAAGTTCTGGGAATTTGGGAAGGTTTTTGCTTGAGAGTAATTTTTCTAAGATTTGCAAAGCAAGTCAAACACTTCTCTTCAAATCCACATGAAGGTATTCGAGGTTGGTGCTTTTTTCTTAGTGAGCTTCAGACGTGACAGATACAACCTCGACAAGTAACTATTCATTGAACATGGAATAAAACATTCAGAGATTCATTATTGTAGAGCACTCAAATCTGATTTGAATGAATATCAGATACAAAGTGTTCCACGACGAAAGGGACAAAGAGAGAAGAGGAAACTTCATTGAGTTGTGTGTTGAATAGTTAATCGATTTATAGTATCGTCAGTAACTAGTGAGCAGGACTACTACAGTTTTACTAGAAGGATCAAAAAAATTAGCGTGTTTCATTTTAATTTGGGAAGTTCTGTTCACTTCGGGTACAGTCAGACGTGTTTTATGTCACTGAATAAATTAACCATATTTAATTGACCTTCAACGCAAAGTTTCCGAATTCCATTCGAATTGGAACATTGGAAAATTATATGAACTAGTTATATGAAAATCCCTTTATAAAAAACATAAATGATGTGCGCGCGCAGATCTGGATATGATACTTTGATTATTCGAGATTTCAGCCTTTTTTAGCTTGAATGGAGGACTTGCGGATCGGTCTAAGCTGCAAACTTGAAAAATATATGAGGTGAAGTTCCGAACAGCTGGAGGAGTTTTATTATCGTCGAAACCCTTGACATAAGTCGATATCAATTGATAGGAAAGGATTTATAAGACATATCTTCCATTATTGCAAGGGGTGATTTCTTGTGGTATTCAAAGATTTCTGAAAAAATCGTGAATATCTTGAAAATCCTTAACCCAAGTTTGTTGAAAACTTGCACTGTTATTTGTAAGGAGTATGGCGGTAATTTAGTCATATCTAATCAGAATATTATACAATGGTTTGTTATCCTGTGTACGGGTGATTTGCCATGGTGTTAAATAGAGGACGAAGTTGCCTATTACCATGCTGAACAATTATCTGAAAGAATATTTGAGTGTCATTTCAATTTCAAATTATATAAAAAAACGGAAAGTTCTAATTATTGTTCGTATTTCATAAAAAAATACCCAACTTGTACTGGCTACTTATTTCACAAACAATGGCTGCTGTTTGATCAAAACAGCCGATGCAGGCACACCCCAATTCACAAGGCAACAACAAGATTATAGTTTACGATTCTCGATTCCAAGCAAGTTGGCGCTTCGTATCTAGTAATCAATCTTCAAACGTACACGGGATCGTCTAATTCAGCCTCATCTTCTAACTCAAGTCTGGAGGAAAAAAGGAAGACCAAGAAATATGCCTGTTCAAAAGCAACAAGAACCTTTGCTCAATACGAAGCCGTCATAAATCGAGGGCAGGCCGAAGCAAGAAATCGCCTACAAGCACATTGGAGACCTTCGAGACGGTAGTGCACAAGTAGGGAAGGCCCTTTTGAAGCTGAAATCGCAGCTGGAGTTAGAAGAAGACGAAGAAGAGATGCCTTTGGTTCCGACGAACAACATGGATGTGACTATCGAACTGCATCACGGCGACACTGACAAGGGCATGGAAAAGATGAGGACCAGAGTATTAATTTTACAAATACGATTTATTCAGGCCCAGATGATCTTAGTGACTGTTGGAGTTTTAGGTTACCTATGTATAACTTGTGTCATCGATTTCGATATTACTGAAAAGAGCTAGAAATTTTGAACTAGGTCGTGCTTGAAGCACTTTTTTACAAGAAATCTAAATCATACTTCCCACGGCGTTCTTGAGAGTTTCTGTGGGCGCCATATTGGATTTTTTGAAAGTCTTCTTATTATGATTACAACCATGTATCACAGGATATGATCGAATCTCGAATGCTTACTAAAATTGATGAGTCATTTCAAATTTGAAAACACAGAATGATGTAATTTTCGTTTTCATTTTCTCAATCGAAATTCAGTGAAAAAGCTTTTAAAAAATACCTTAGTCGTATCGATTTCTTCTTCCACAAACAATGGCTGTTCGATTATCATAGCAGGACCACAAAGTCGCGAGAAAACATCAAGATTATCCTTGAAGATTTCAAGGAGGTTTTCGCCTAGGATCTAGTCATCAATCTTCAAATGTACACGGGATCGTCTTATTTAGCATCATCTACTAAGCCAAGTCCTTAGAGAAAAAGAAGAAAAGTGCCTGTTGAAGGGCGAAGAGATGAAGCCATCAGAAATCGTCTGTGTCGCTCAATCGAATCAGCGAGAAATCGTCGGCCACGATTTGTAAACCTGTTAGAAGCAGCTGAGAGAGGCCCTTTTGAAGCTGAAATCGCAGTCGAAGTTGCGGAAGAAGACGAACAAGAGGTGCCTTTGACTCCGACGAACAATGTGGATGTGACTATCGACGTGCATCACGCTGACACTGACAAGAACAACGAGAAGATGATGACAACAGGATGAATTATTATCCAAATATGATTAATTTCGACCAAGATTATAGTAACGGTTGAAGTTTCAGTTAGACATACCTAGACATTTTAACTAGGACGTGCTTGATGCACATTTTTACAAGGAATTTGAATCTTCATATTTTTCTAGGCCTTCTTGATTCCAGAGTCACAACACATAGTCTTGGGTGTTTCTATGGGCGCCATATTGTATTCTAGGAATGTCCTATCATTCTGATTACATTGATATATCACAGGATATAATGAAATCTCACATGCTTATCAAAAAAAGTTCTGAAAATCAAATGGATTCAGAGATTAACCATGATAGGCTGAATTTCTTCGAAGTGTTGAAAAAATCATCTCTCTCCCTCTACATACCGCTGGAGATTCGTTTTGATTGTAATTTGTGCTATTCGATGTGAGGCGTAATAAATCTGAAGAATATCAAGCTATTCTTCAGATTTCGGC